TATCCTAATAAATTATTGTTTTCATTATCAATCATTGACATTAAAAGAAGGGCTGGAAAAATTGCTAGGGCTTAAGAACACTTGCTCCACTTCCAGAGGACCTGAGTTCAATTCTCAGCACCCACTTCAGAATGAAGTACATTATTCATAAATATAAGATCAATTTAACCTATATTTAAGAACTAAAAGGATGATATCAAAAAGAACCCATGAACAAGAATTCCTACAAAGAAGCTAAGCCTGCAGAGGCTGATTTAAACTATGGAGAGTTTGGCATGCCATAGACCCAGAGGCTAATTCCAATTTATCTTGGGCACTCTTTAGCTCCCTAAAGAGCCATTCTTTGTCCACCTCTGTGTCAGACCTAAAAAAAAAAGCAGATTCTCCACCAATGGAAGGGCTGAGCATTTTATCAAATAGCATCAGGGGCCTAGAGTTGAGATTCCACCACTTGACTTTAACCTACCTCTGTAATGGTTCCAATGTTGTGTTTTAAAAATAATTACAGATCATTGTTTTTTTAAGTCATTACAGATCATGCCTATTGGCAGATGTTGGGCACTGGCCTATACCATCTTCCATGCTGGGTACACAGACATCTTCCTTCTGATCTCAAGGGGAATAGGCTGGAATATTATAAATGGTAGCCCGAAGAAAAGACCAGCACTTTCCTTCCACTGGCATTCCTGTAACCTATGACTTAATCATCAACATAGGTAGAGTGCTGGGAAAGATGATGTCAACTGCAAGAAAGAGAAGCAATGTGCTGTGACCACAGCTCCTTTCTTAAAAGAGCTGCTCTCAATTCCCACAAGCCATGATTAGTCCACCTGTGTACTTGCCAAATTAAAAGATACCTTCCTTCTCTCATATTATCTGCAGACAGGAGTCATCAAAGTGAAAAGCCTGGAATGCAATGGAATTAATTAATAAAGATGTGTTCATTCTTTCTGTGTTCTAGTTTGAAGAAAAATTTCTGAAAACTCGGGATGACTTGGCAAGGTTAAGAAACGGTAAGAACAAAGATCTAAATGCTCCTGAGAGGGTTTCTAGTGGGAGCTTTAGACATTAGACATTACCTATGTAAGTGTAGCATTCATTGATGAAAGGGTGGTAGATTGTCAGTCATGGGTCTCTGTGAGCAGATCTGGTGAAGAGCTCAGTTAAAAGGCTGAAACTCTCTCTGTATTTGCTGAAACCATCCCCAAAGTCCTGTGAATGTCCTGTCTCTGCTTCCCATGCTTGCTGCAGTTAGCTTGGGTTCCCACACAACCTGCCATCCACATACAATTCACTGGATGTCAGTAGCAAATGTGTCAGCCACTTACCTTGAGTTCTATCAGGTTTTATAAACTAATTCCCTAGTGATGTTGCATTATAGGATTAACAGGAAGGCTGTGCTGATTGTGTGGAATACTATGAGGGAGGATGAGAGAGAAAAGGGGGAGGGTCCACACCTATGGGTGAGGGTCTCTGGGCCTACCCAGCACACACTGACCCTTGCTGTTAGTGAAAAACACACAGGAAACCCACACAGAAGCAGGTTTGTCATCTTGCCTTGATGTCATGAACATCGAGAGACCTTCTTTTTAATTTTAAGGGTACCAGTTAATATTACAATTATTCCTCTTTCAACTTCTCCCTAAATTATACATGAATATGAGTTAAACACACCATCACATCCTGTGGTACACATACAGAAGTATTGTCAATCTGAAATTAAAAAGTTAAAATGGTAGAACTTAGAGGACACTAAAAACAGAAAAAAATTAAATGTGATTACACTGAAAAATTAGTTATCAAGCAATTAGTTATTTTTAATTTTTCTGTCATTTCATCAAATACTTTTTGTTTTGAATGTGTCTGACCATGGATTGAATATATATAATATATACATATGTGTGTGTGTCGTATTACATATGCCCATAAACATCTTATTCTCTTTTCTCTTTGCTTCATCCAATAGATGGGAGTTTGATGTTCCAGCAAGTGCCCATGGTGGAGATTGATGGAATGAAGCTGGTGCAGACCAGGGCCATTCTCAACTACATTGCCTCCAAATACAACCTCTATGGGAAGGACATGAAGGAGAGAGCCCTGTATGATATACTTGCTCTGGGAAATATTTAGATCCTATCTTGAGTGAACAGAGTGATGGAAAAGGACCCATGAACACAATGGGCCTGGGTGCTTTGGCATACATACACTGACATCAGCTAAGTAGAGCACTGTGGGATTGAGGGAAGAATATGAGAGGTTAGGGGTATCTCATGTAGAACAGGAGAGGGTGGAGTTCGGTTTCCCTTTGTTTGGTCTTCAGAAGCAGCATTTAGCCAATAGCTTTAGAAAAGGGAAACGGGGTGGACAGTTTTGACTGTCAGTAAAGAGAAGGCCCCAAAGAGCTGATCTTCCAGTTCTGACAATTGCAGCTGTGACTCTGGGTTACCATGTAAATCTACATCAGTCAGGCTGATTGTGGCTCATAGACTCTGGTACAGAGACACCAGGGTTCCATGAAGTTTTTTGTGGGAACTAGAGGATTCTTGGGGGTATCAAAACTGATCATGAGGTTTTCTCTCTCCTGATAGAACCGCCCCATTCAAACTAAATCTTCTGTGGAACTATGGGGTTTTTCTCAAAAAGTTAAACATCAAGTCACCAATAACCCGGCAGTTCCATTACCAGATAGACACACAAGAGAAATAAAAATACATCCTCTGGAATAATGTTCACAGGATGTTCATAGATGCATTATGTTAAAAAAGTATAATGTTCAAACAGTAAAAAATGAGCCAAATGTTAACAGAAGGATGGATGAAGAAAGGAACATTTCTTGCTAGCCCTTTAGATCATTCGAAAGGGAATGTTACTGGAGGTGGTGGTGTTTGCCTTTATCCCAGCAAATTCAGTGACAAGGCAGGAGAATCTCTGTGAGTTTAAAGCCCACCAGAGCTATAGAGAGATCCTGTCTCAAAAAAAAAAAAGAAAAGAAAAGAAACGATTGCTAACCAGCAGGTAAAAATATATTATTACTGGCTCCATAGTCCCATCAGAGGTGAACTATTTGGCCACTGCCTTTTATGTTTTTCAACTATAATATCTGAGGCAAGAGGGCTTTAGCAGAATGCTTGTCTGTTTTTCAGCATTGACATGTATACTGAAGGTCTGGCGGATCTGGATGATATAGTTCTCCATCAACCTTACATTCCCCGAGAGGAGAAAGAGGGAAACCTTGCCAAGATCAAGGACAAAGCAAGGAACCGTTACTTCCCTGCCTATGAGAAGGTGAGTGCACGCTGTTTGACCTTTAGAGCGCTCAGAGGGCCTAGTAGTCCTCAGGGGGCATCTGAGCAGCTAACATTGCTGCAACAAAAAATGCCAAGCACGGTGTGGGTTAAACCGCAGACACTTATTTCTCACTGTGCTGGATGCTCTGAAGTATAAAATCAAGACATTGCGTTGGTGTCTGGCCAGACTTACTCCTTGGCTCTTGTATGCCTGCTTTCTCTCTGTGTCTTCAATGGCAGATGGGGGTGAGAACTCTCTGGTGCCCCCTTGTTGGGAGGAGGAGGAATGCCATTCATGAGCCCTTAAACTGTAGAACCTCTTCCCCTCTCCAGGGTCCTACTTACTAACAGCATCATGCTGTGGGCTGGAGTTCTCATCATCCTAATTTGTGGGAGATACAAACCATCAGGCACAACAGAGCCAAGAGGAAAAGGGCCTAGGTGTTCTTGGGCTATTGGTCTTCACTTCCAGGACGGACTTTATTATTGTTAATTCAGCACCCAAACACTGAAGGTGTTGTGTAAAGGTCGAATGTAAAGAGCCATTGACAGTTATAGCAAATACTGTGTTCCTCCCCTCTCGCCAAAAAAAAAAAAAATTGTTTTTCTGTCACTCATGACAGAATTTTTTCAGACAGATTTCACAGTCACAATTAGAACTTGGAATGTGTAAACATCTGAGCCATACTAAAGGCTGGACCTGATTGAACAGGACACTGTAATCTTTTGGCTCAAGAGCATCAAAATGAGAGCAACACATCAGAAAACATTCCACCCCCAAGTCTAGGGAAGCCTGAAACAGGTCTCCATCAGGAGAGTGTTGCATTGTTTCAGGATGGACTCAGAGTATCTACACAATATTGTCAGAGGCACGGAAGGGAAGAGACAGTGAGGAAATACAAAGAAAAACATAACTGCCAGAATTAGCAACACTGCTCTCAGATTTTTAAAAGTAAGTTGCACAAGAATAAGGGGATAAAGTTCTATTTTCATATACATATGTACATCTGTTTGTTGTATGTGTACCATCCTACTTAGAGTTCCATTTATAAATGAAGAGGCCATGTTTCAGAATCAGACACTGTTAGGCCAAACTGAACAAAAAAATTGTCTAAGCTTGTCACTGAGGCAGGAGCCTTGCAGATAAAGGAAGAACCATTTGAGTTCCATTCACTTCTACTTCACTGACTAGGGGCATTTCCCCTTTATTCTTCAGGTTTCAATAATGCTGAGTTATTTTTAGCAAAAAGCTCATATTGTTCCCATTTGTTGTGTAAATACTTACTTAGCATTAGATTATTTTTCCTTTATTCAACAAATACTAATTCATTGCTGTGTGTCAGATCCAGGGTACAGAATAATATAAATGCTCATATCCACAGACTCTCCCTCTTGGCCCTTGGGATGCCTACAGATTAGGATTTATCCCATGAAGAGATGCTCTCTGTTGATTACAGTTTGTCACCTGTAATGTGAAACCAAAGAACCCCTTGAATATCTGTTAACTACATAAATTACAGTGTCATTTTGTTCTTTTACCAAGCAGTTATTCATATTTCTATATGTATACATAATCTGGTAAGTATTTGATAACATATTATTTTTAATTGGTAGTGCTTCGACGTTTTTCTTCTTTATTCTTCATGACTTTAACATTGAAGGATTATTTTAGCAAATATTACATGTTACTCCAATATTTTTTATAAAAACTATCATTCATCTACAAAGGTTGAGATAGGTATGGTGATGCAAGCCAGTAAGCTGAGTGCTCAAGACATAGAAGCCAAAGGATCAGTTCAAGACTAGGCTAAGAACACAGTGAGTTTGAGGCCGGCCTGGGCTACATGAAACCCTGTCTCCAAAATAGAAAGAAAGAAAGAAAGAAAGAAAGAAAGAAAGAAAGAAAGAAAGAAAGAAAGAAAGAAAGAAAGGAGGAAAGAAAGAAAAAGAAGAAGTGAAGGTAGGTTAGTTAGATTAAAGAACACATGGGTATCATGTGTTCATCGACTTGATGGCAAATTGGGCATCCTGTGGTGCTGGCTTTGTTGTAGGTGTCCATTCCTCCCCTCCCCCACCTACACATTCTTCTTTCCACCACGGTACCTTTTTCTAGCATTCCAAAATTAATTGGAGACAGACATGCAGTTAACCCTTTGTTGCCTCGGCACTGCAGAGGATGCCATAGTATAAAGAGCCTGAGTCAGTGTTGCAGAGGAGATGACGATCAAGCTCACTCTTGATGCCATGGATATGAGGGCACTGGGAGAGCAGAATGAGGAGGAATGTAACCACTGAAGCAGTCTACTCAGTGTGAAGGATGTCTTCACACAGGTGAAACCATTTCCCACTAAGAAGCTATAGAATACAGTGAGACAGCACCCTCAAGGTCAGATCTTCACCCCTTTAGTGTGTGTGTATGGGGGGGGCGGTCAGGAAGAAATAGTGGGGCTGAAGCTAGGAGTGTCACACATATATGAAAAGCAGTGAAGGACAGATGACAAAAAGATGGGGAGACATCTGCTTCTTGATTTTATCATGAGTCAGAGGATAGAGCAAGATGTGGGGCTCCATACACACCTAAAAAGGCAGCAGAGGGCCGGGCGGTGGTGGCGCACGCCTTTAATCCCAGCACTCAGGAGGCAGAGGCAGGCGGATCTCTGTGAGTTCAAGGCCAGCCTAGGCTACCAAGTGAGTTCCAGGAAAGGTGCAAAGCTACACAAGAGAAACCCTGTCTCGAAAAAAAACAAAACAAAACAAAACAAACAACAAAAAAAAGGCAGCAGAGGGGAAATTTGATTTGAGAGCCTCAGAAAAAGCCAAGAGGCCCCAGTGTAATGGCTGTTGTTGTCAAGATCTAACTAACATCTTGAACCTCGCAGGTGTTGAAGAGCCATGGACAAGATTATCTGGTTGGCAACAGGCTGAGCAAGGCTGATGTTTACCTGGTTGAACTCCTCTACCATGTGGAAGAGCTGGACCCCACCATTATGGCCAACTTCCCTCTGCTGAAGGTGCTCTATTTCAAGTTCTCTGAGGGGCAGTCCATATCTTACCTTGTCGGATCCAATATTTTAACCCAACTTCTAGTTTCTTCCTGCCTTCATAGCTACCCCTTGCCCCCAGCAGTACCTGCAAAATGAGATTTTAGACCCTAGGTCTGAGACATATGCTATCTCAAGAAGGCTACGTTGTCTTGTACAATGGAAAGAGTCCAAGGCCTCACTTTCTCCCCGCCCCACCCCGTTCCACCTTGGATTTGATCCTGATTTTGATAAGATTCTCTTTATCACTGTGGTAGTCTTGTTCTTGACAGTGATCCTATCTGGAGAGGCCTTTTCAAGTTTCTCCGTTATCAAACATTGTACTTCTCTCTACGGTGGCCTCCTTCACAGACATATTTCCCCAATTCAATAACTCCCATGTGTGTGTGTGTGTTAGTGTGTGTGTGTGTGTGTGTGTGTGTGTGTGTGTGTGTGTGTGTGTGTGTGACAGAGAGACAGAGAGACAGAGAGACAGAGAGGTATGCATGTTTCATATGGGTGTGTATAAATGTACTTATGCATATGAAAGCCAGAGGTATACATAAGATGCCTTGCTGGATCACTCTCCATCTTATCTTTGAATGGAGTCGTCACTGAGCCTAGAGCTCATCTATTCAGCTAGGCTGGCTGACCAGTGAATTTCAGGGCTGTCTTCTCCACCCTCTGCACCACAGCACTGGGGCAAAGGTACATACTGTTGTACTTGCCGTTATGTGGGTTTGGGGGATCCTAACTCACACCCTCATGCTTCCATAACCGGCACTTTGTCCACTGAGCCATTCCTCAACCCTCCTGATCGTATGACTTGTCTTGGTTTTGTGTGGTGCTAGTGATTAACCCTCGCATACACCAGGCAGTGCTGTACCACTGGCCTATACTGCCAGCCGCCCGCACTTCCCATTTGTCTTTCCCAATGTGAAGGTTGGTTATGACCGGACCCGGGTTTCCTGTTCTATTTTTCTACCACTATTTCTGACTCTGTTGTCCCAGATCTTCATTTTATCTGTTTGGGTGTGTCTATGTATCAATATCTGAGAAACAAACTGTTCATCCTTAAATTCTAGAGAAATGAAGAGTCTGCAGGACTGAAGTCCAAAGAAGAAGATGGGAACAACTTGAACAGAATGAATCTTTAAGATATACCGGGGGAAAGCTCCATTTTTTCCCTCTCATCTTCATTCTCTCTGGGTATCTGTCTCCAGCCTCCACCCTGCTGCTGATGGAGGGGATCGGTTGGTTTTCTGCCTGGCAGGGCTGCAGGGCTGCACAAGCACTAACTTGTAGCTTGATTTTTCCGCCTCGGCCACAGTCAGGACAAATCTCTGTCACCCGCCAGTCCCACAGCCGCTCAGACCCAACCAAATAAACACAGACACTTATATTGCTT